ACGTGTGCTCTTCCGATCTCCCCAAAACCCCAAAACCCCTGAGAAAAAGATAAATGCAGATTAGATAAAGTAAAATTAATATCAAAATAAATTAGCAAAATGGAGTACAAACCGGACATTGTCATTAAAAAGGCAACTATGATTAGAAAGAACTTCAATGACATCAATCAGGTCTACAATTTCGAGAAGGGTGTATGTCACAATATTTTAAATGAATTCAATAATCTTAATAAATATCCATAGAAACTCGGAAGTGGGTCATACGGAGTGGTGCATAGGGGTATTCATCAAGTAACTGGCTAAGAAAGAGCTATCAAGGTTATTCCCAGAGCTAAAATTAAGAACATGGACAGGTTCAAAACTGAGGTCAAGATTCTTCAAACTTTGGTAAATATAAGCACAACTTTTAATACATTCTAGGATCATCCAAATGTCATCAAGCTTTTTGAATATTTTGAGGACGATACAAATGTATATCTTGTAATGGAGTAAATTAAAAGGATTTGAGTTTTTTTAGAGTTTGCAGTGGCGGAGAGTTGTTTGAGAGAATTATTGAGAAAGAATACTTCTCAGAGAAATATGCTGCTTAGGTTTTTAAACAAATCTTAGAAGCTATAAATTACTGTCATAATAATGGAGTTTGCCATAGAGATTTAAAACCAGAGAACTTCTTATATGAAAATAAAGACGATAGCTCAGACGTTAAAATTATTGACTTTGGTCTCTCTAAGATCTTAGATGGTGGTTGTAAGATTTTAGATTTTAGTAGAACTTTAAATAGCAAAACACGCACTTTAAAGAATGAAGACCAAAGCAGGAACTCCTTATTATATTTCCCCAGAAGTATTGACTGGAAACTATGATATTTCTTGTGATATGTGGTCAGCTGGGTGTATTCTGTACATTCTGCTATGCGGTTACCCTCCATTTTATGGTGATGATGATCAGGAAATTTTGCGCATGGTTAAAAGAGGAGAATTCGATTTCGATGGGGAGGAATGGGAAGATGTTTCCAATGATGCCAAAGATTTAATAAAGAAACTTATTTGTAAACCTGAGAGAAGACTGACTGCAGGAGAAGCTCTTCAACACACATGGATTAGGACTCTCGCCAAAAACAGCAAAGTTGAAAGACTTACAAAGCTAAATCTTGATTCTTTGAAGAAATTCTAGCATCATTAAAAACTTAAGCAGGTAGCGCTTACAGCTATTGCAGTTCATATAAACCCAAAGGATATTAAACAACTCAAAGATAGTTTCAAAGCTCTAGATAAAAATGGAGATGGGTGTTTGAATCTGGAAGAACTTAAATTAGGGTTGAGTGATATGAAAAACGGAGAGGAAATATTAGCATTGATGTAGGCTGCTGATACAGACAAGAGTGGCACAATCAATTATACAGGTATTTAAATATTATATTAACACTTATGATAGAATTTATTGCTGCAACATTAGATGCTTAGGTATTTATGAGAGAAGAAAATCTAAGAAACGCTTTTATGATGTTCGATACTGATCAAAGTGGGAAAATTGATGCCAAAGAAATCAAACACCTTCTAGAGGGCGATGATTTTAAGGACTAGGTTAGTTCGGATTAATTATCCTAAGTCCTCTAAGATGTTGATGTAAATGGCGATGGAGAGATCGATTTTGAAGAATTTTTGACGATGATGAGGAAAATTATTTGATAATAGTCGCATTATAATTTTGTTTTTGTCAAAAATGGACTCGATGATTAAGGCACTGTTATATTTATATTCTTGCTAAACTTTAAATTATAGTTAAAATGCTTGTTTAAAATTAAGTGTATTAAATAGCTTTGAAATCTCAAATTATAATTATTAAATATTAAAAGTGAAAGATTGCAAGGCAGACAAAAGCAATGAGGCCTTTACATAGGCTGCATTGAAGATATTTTGCCAATATCTAATGGAGAAAAATGGGTAGGACGCAGTAGATACACTCTGACTGAACGTCCAATTCTCTTCTCTAACATCAAAAAAACATATTTCTAAATTTAACTAAGGCGAGATACTCAAGGTCACCATATACATATGGAGATCTCCTTTTCCCTTGCCAACACTATTAGAGGATCAGGCAGAAGTGGGTTAAAACATAACTCACCTCTTCGTTCAAATTCTCCTACAACCATTAAAGTTATCTATTTTTGTCAAAATTTAGTAGTATACTAGAAAACCATTTTCATATCTATTGCATCTCAATTTGATTCCTATCTTTGATTTCAACCACAATCTCAGACTTTGGGGTTTTGGGGTTTTGGGGTTTTGGGG